TATTCAATTTTAACGATCCTTGTTAAAACTAGTGCCAACTATTACTACATAAGGTTATGGTTCTTGAGCTGCTTCAAGTTTCATGTACCTCCCACTCGCTTTGTCATTAGAAGCTTGCTTTATACTAACTTAGCTTTCACAAGAATAAGATGACTTATTCTTGGCAGGTTTGCATATAATAATCTAAGCCACATTTAGAGTATTATACAAATATGTGTTTAGCAGATTTTGGGTTTAGAAGCTTTAGTCCAACATCAGCTTCAAATCCACAAAACATTAAGTAAGATGATGATGGAGCCTTTCCATACTAAATCTTATAAAGTGTTTAATCTACTTATTAGTTGGTTTTTGTATTCAAGATACAATTAATAGTGATTAAAGTATTATCCCAAAAAGATTAAAGGAGGATATTTCTACCGATTAGAAAGTAAATCATACCAAGTAAGATTTAATTAATCATTTATTATCATTAAGACCTTAGATGGTTTTTACCGGTTTGCATCTCAACTTTTGAAACCTTCAAACAAGATTTCACAATTATGCTTTACCACGTAAAATATAATTAAAACTACTATAGTTGTTAATAAAGTTAATTTGGTATCTTGTGCTTAATCTCAGACATTCATTAGAAATGAAGTTATAAGGTTCATATATGTCAAATAAACTACATTATTTGCCTTCAAAGATCCCTTTCTTGAAGTTAGAATATGTGAATGTCATTTATATAATAAAGATAACAATGCCAAAGATGAGTTTGATTTAAAACAAGTTTAAGTCAAAAGTACTTGCATATAGAACTTAATTTTATTTATAAAATGTTGATATTTACTTCATAATTCTATTAAAAGATCTAGTCTCATAAATAGAAGTTAATCATTTCAGAATATGAATATTATCGTTATGAAAAACGATTGAGTAAATGATCAAAAATTTGAATAAAATAACTGAGACATAAATTTAGACATGCTAAATTAAAACATACTTTGTTCCAAAACAAATATTGTTTTACATTACAAGTAATTTATATCCTAAGCATAAATAATAAACTAAACTCCGAGAGTGTAGTTCCAACTTGATTGTGCTCAGCTGGTACTCTTCAATAAACATTTGCAAGCCATTTACAAATATTAGATTAACATTTAAGTACCAAGTACCTAAGTGTTATATGAAAAATATGAGTTCTATCTAGTAGATACAAGAAGTACTAGTCTCTTTCCGACTTTCTTTCCAAATAAGAGGAGTAAGTCGTCTTCCAGTGTCTAGTTTCTTCTTAAAAGAAACAAGATTCATCCATGTGGGTTTAGTAGATTTATTGGGCTTAAAGGTGTTCAGTCCATAAAACATGGGCCTCCTGGATCACACAAGGTGATTCTTTTAGCTTTGCATGATTCCAATGTTTAAACTAGTTTTAAATAAAATATCACTGTATTTATTGGAATATTGCTTGACCTGTTATATCATTAGATATATGTTTAAATTATCCAAGACTTCCTAGAAGTCATGAATAACTATTCCTAGCTTGATGTTAGAAGCATCTTAAGCATCACGGTGGTGTCTTTACTAGGTATCATGTTCAGGCTTATTGCTCAAAGCAAATAGTTTAGGACTAGGAGCTTTAAGTGTATACAATTTCATATCTCTCACGAGATTGTCTCTTAAGACATGAACCCATTAATCGAAGTTGTATCTATTGAATGTTATTGTTTCATTTAGTCATTAAAGAAAATGACAATTCATGATAATGAGAATGAATTATTTAACTACAAAATTTCAACAAAATTCATTTAGTATTTTCAATATTTAATCTTTAATAATTAATACCATTTTAGTTTCCAAAAATATTAATTATCAAAGTCTAGGACCCAAGTTGCAAAACAAATAAATGGTTAGGTATCCTTTATCCCATCCATTTGAATTCAACTCGGTAGATATCGATTATCAATTATATCTTACTATATAATTCCTAGATTTATGGGATCGCTAATAACAAATTTAATTAGAAATGTTTGATCCTATCTATGCCTTATAACTCTCTTGCTTAGGTATCATTTATCACAAAATATTTCCGATCAAATCGTCCAATTTAAAAAACTTGTGTAATCGGCCTATAACTTGGTTATAGAAATCGCGAAGACACCCCGGCCATCAAAAGACAACACTAAGCGGTTAGGCATCCTTTATCCCACTAGTGCATACAAGAGACGTGCATGTGTTTTTCAAAAGGATTGCATAGATTTGAGGTTTGTAAAAAAGGTATTTATATGTTTATAATTATAGTTTAAAAACATATGATATCATGGTTATTACATGCATATAATAAACCATGGTATTGTTGGATTTGGTGTCTAAGCCCATAACTATTTTGGTATGTACTTGACCCGATTATGAGCATGATCCTTTTGGGTTGCCTTCACTCATGCAACTTGATAGGATGACAAGAGGAGAGAGAGTAGAATTTATTATATGAATAATAAATTTGTACTCAAAATGGTTTTATTAATATATTACAAGATTAATATATTATTTGGAAATCATATTATTTAATTAGTATTGATCGGAAATTAATTTGGTGATTAAAAGAGACTGATTAAATATAGGGGACTGATGTTGCAATTATCTGATAGTTGCTAGTTGGGCTATGAATTCCTAATAGAAAGGGATTGGACGAAATCTATGGAGAGTCCAAAAGGATTTCGTCCAAGGGCTTTCTAGATGGGCTCCATGGATTGCTTAAGCCATAAGCAAGGAAATTAAGGTTTCCACCATAAAACCCTAATAGCCTCAACTATAAATAGATCCCTTAGTATATGGAAATCGGCCCTATGCTTCTTGGAGTTGCCCTAGCCGATTTCCTTCTCTCTCCTAAGTCATCTTGTTGCATTAAGTGTTTGTGATTCCATTAGAGGTGCAACATTTGAGGCACTAAGCTTTCAAAGGTCAAGGAGTTCTTGTTATTATTACATAACAAGTTGAGGTAATCATTCTAACTTGTTTATTATGTCTATTTCGAAATAAGCATGCTAGATTAGGGTTTATTGCTTTGGTATTCAATATTGTATGTTCAAATTAGAAAACCTAGATCAAAGCAATTAGGGTTGCTTGAACACCATAGGAATGATGTTATGCTCATAACCCAACAGGTATCAATTTTCAAAAGAAAATTACTTTTAAAGGTTCTATATAAAAAGCTAGTTTTTATATAATCTGACGCAATTTAATTTTAATAACCGATATTAATTTTGAATGCGTTTGAACCTTTTATATCTTTAATAAAACTTCATTTTATTACTTATATATTTGAAGTTTGTATAAGTTACAAAAATCACCATTTTAAAACTTATAATGGAGTATTTCAAAATTTGTCGTTATTAACGATTTTATAAAACCGAGTTTTATTTTTAAAATAATAATTTGTTACATCTTATGTCCAATTTTGAAAAACCAAACTCCATGTGATGTTTATTTTGTACAAAATTATTTTAGGATATGAAAAACTAATTTTATCAAACATGCATAAAAAGATATATGCATAAACATAGTCAATTAATGACATTTTCTAAATACAAAAGTCTGTGCTATTTTCTTTTCTTTTCCTCACTTCTACTATTTTTTTAATTTTCCTTTTCACTCCCTATACTTTGAATTCATGTACATATTTCACCAATTTATTTTGAAAAATATCATTTCCGTTAACCCGCTCCATTTTTTAATATGTTTACCCCTGTATACGGTTGCCACCCCTCTACTTTGTAAAATGTCATTTTAAACCTCTTGAATTTTAAGTTTGTAAAATTCGTTAATTTATATATAAAAAAACTAATTTAATATGTGTTACTTTTTATATATGTATCGGTATAAATTCGAAGTGGTCAGCGTTTCGACGTAAATTTAGAAATTTCATTCGTTAATTTTTAAAAAAATTACTTGCTTTTTTATGTATGTATTGGTATAAATTTTAGTTTGTCTATGTTTCAACGTAACTATTTTTTACGTTTTGGTGGAATTTATTTACCTTTTGATGTAAATATTTTTTATGCTCTCATGCTTACTTTTAAGCATTTCGCTTGACATAGATTTGTTCCCTGAATTTTATGCTTTGACAACTCACGCCCTCCTAAATTTTTATGCATGGTTTTGGTCCCTGATTTTAGTAGTTTTCGCAACTTAAATCATTCGAAGTTTCTATTTTACTACTGAAAGAGTTCAGTTTTCTAAATCCATTACTTCCGCCGCAACGTGCGGCGGGTGAAATCCTAGTTAATTATATTTACGACATAATACCAACGAATGAGTTATCTTAGAATGTATGTTAAATTTTTATGAGAAAAAATGAAAATTAATGAGCCCTGATAAGAAAATCGGCAAGTGGTTACTCATGCTCACATAATTGGTCCAAGTTTGCATCTTGGCCAAACCATTTTTCTAAGCGGAGTTTTACAACGGAATAACGACAATTTTTTTTAGTTTCCATCGGGAATCCGTAGGAAATGATTTCAAAATTTCAAAAAAAAAAATCGCAAGCACCCCCATGGTTCCAACTCGGCCAATAATTTGATGCTTTTCCGTTGCTAATTTTGGGCTAACTCTTTTTGTCAACGTTATGTGGTAATTACCGATGGAACTATTCTGTCGAAAGAAAATTAAATACACCTCCCTAGTTTGTGTACAAATCAAACATATTTCGCCGGCTAATCTCAATGCTACCAAAAGAAAGCAAACTGACGCGACGCTGCCTAAGATTGCCGGCTCTCCAAATAAAACAAATTACGCAAACAACAACTTCCATAGTAGGAAATGGTAGGTATCTAGCTGCCGCCAATTGATTTATATATTTAATTTTATTGCATTAAAATTTTAATATATAGTCATATGCATATAATTTATTTTAATTTTTTATTAGTTACAAGGCGGAGAATACCCTACACACTAGTTATTTTTTGACTTCTTTCTATTGTTATAGGTAGAAGCAATTGTCATGACCTCAATTGAGGTTTGGTTTATGAATATAAACTACACACACATAGCGACTAGAGAAAAAAAATAAATAATAAAGTCTACGGTATTGAAGAGGATGGCTAGTAGTCGAGAGCAAAGATGGTCTCTGAAGGGTATGACTGCTCTTGTCACCGGTGGCACCAGAGGCATTGGGTTAGTCCTCTTATTACTTGCCTGCTTTTTCTATTGTAAACTACGGGTCGAACATTTACTTGATGATCGATAGTAATTAAATTCATGTTTTAATTAGAATATTAGATGTTTTCAATTCTTTTTGTTGTAGTTATTCAATAGTGGAGGAATTAGCAGGATTCGGTGCATCTATACATACGTGTTCTAGAAATGCAAAAGAGATCAATGAAAGGCTGGAAGAATGGAAAGCCAAAGGGTATGTTGTTACTGGTTCGGTTTGTGATTTGTCTTCTAAAGAACAAAGGGAGGAACTCATGAACACGGTCTCTTCCATTTTTGATGCCAAACTCAACATCCTTGTAAGTCGTGTTAAAAGTTAAAACTAAATTAGATATTTATGAATCAATAGAAATTGATATAACCCGTGTTAATTTTTTCAATATCGATTTTTTGTTTATAATAGATAAACAATGCTGGAGTTACCCGAATTAAAGATGCAACCGAGCACACAACCGAAGATTACACATTTATAATGGGGACGAACTTTCAATCTCCATTTCATTTGACTCAGCTAGCACACCCACTGCTCAAGTCATCCGGTGATGCTAGTGTTGTTTTCATCTCTTCCGTTTCTGGTGTTACGGCTCTTCCTTCCATGTCCGTTTATGCAGCCTCTAAAGGTCATATATTAAACTATTCAATTAATAGCTTTTTATAAGAATAAAAGACGAATCAAATATCGTTGGTTAAATCGATAATTCATTCCAGGTGCTATCAATCAGCTGACCAAGAATTTGGCTTGTGAGTGGGCAAAAGACAATATTCGGACCAATACTGTCGCTCCATGGGGTGTCAGAACCACCATTATGAACTCCGTAAGAACCTTAAAAGGTCTTCGCAGCACACTTAATTACACTATCATTTTTCAAAGATTTTTAGATTTGCAATACTGCAATTTTCTTGCTTTTGGAACTATTGAAACTTATGCCATGCATGGATGTCTTTGGCTGTACGTGAATCATAACAAACAGATGCATCCTTTCGAACTGGCTATGATTCATTCTAAAACATACATAATTTCATGTGTATATATTGACTCATTAATTACAGTCTAGAACCCGTTTAATGTATGTTATAATGAAACAGGAGAAGGTTGATGAAAAAAATATTGAAGCATTAGGGGCACTGATGGCTCGCACTCCACTTCGGTCATCTATGGCAGAACCTGATGAAATATCTCCGTTGGTCGCATTCCTTTGCCTCCCGGCGGCATCATATATTACTGGACAAGTTATTGTTGTGGATGCTGGATACACAGCTGGTGGGTTCAAATCGTAAGCTGATCATTATACTATCGACAAGCTAGAAAACTACGCCATATATAACATTACAAGGTTCAAGGAGAAGCTACTATTGAATTTGATATCCATAAAACCCATCGGTATATTGTTGTAATAACAATGATACTTGTAGCACCCAAAATCACAAAACACACAACACGAGAAATTTGAGTGGAAGCTCAAACCAAAAAACAACAAAGACACGGTATTAAAATAATGAGAAATTAAATATCAATTTATCTTTTGTTCTTATAATCTTTCTATTTATTAGATCAAAATGAATATCAAAATCAAAATCAAATGAGAAGATTAAATGAGGGACTCAGTGTATTCCACATGTTATTTGTTTATATGAGTGAGAGGATGTATAGGAATATATTTATCTTCTCTACTAAAATTGATGATATAAGTGGGTGAAACGTTTCTTTCTTAAGCTATAATTCGATTAGGAAAGCATGTAATTGGCAGATATAATTTCATCTATATAGGCTTATAACCCAAAATCCTTAAAACACTACAAAACAATAATTTTTCCTTGATAGCATGCATATTGATGAAATTCCTGAAGAATGGTCATCTTTTGTTGGTAGTTAGTATTTGACAAACAATATTTTTGTTAAATGTTAAATGTTAGTTAGCATTTGACATGTAGTGTACAATATTTTTGATAACTTGTTTGACATGATGTTATTGGATGAAATTAAATATTTTGGTATATATTTGTTTATGTGTTTTTGTATTATGTGTAAATGAACGTCGTAATTGTGTATCGTAAATACGTGTCATAAATGCATATCGTAAATGCGTTTCATAAATATGTGTCGTAAATGCGTATTGTAAATGGCTGCCGAAGTTTATGACACGCAAATACATGTCATCTTAATTTATGACAAGGGCTTTAATGGTACACATTGCGTGTCATTTATACCCCTTTATGACACACATTGCATATTGTAAATGCATGTCGTAAATGCGCGTTGTAAGATTACGACACGCAAATGCGTGTTGTCTTCCTTTATGACACGTATTTGCATGTCATCTGTACCCTTTTATGACACACAATACGTGTCATGAAAGGCCAATTTACTTTTAGTGAGGGTTTGTTTCCATCATTTGTGCTTTGTGGTGAGCATGTGTCTAACGAGGAGGCGTGAGGTTTCATTGTCTCAAGCGATGGAGGGCTCAAGGTAATCGATGGCTATTTTTTATGGAGGTGGTCAAGGAGTTTCAACCGTAGACTATCGAAGGGTGATACTGAAAGACTCACCTTGGATGTTTTGAAAATAGAGGCAAGTTAAAAACGAACATCTTGCTGTTAGACAAGTTGTGAGTCGTCTAGTTGATACACGAAATGAGAGAGTTGGTAGATATCTTGGTTAGAGAGAGACCTAACAGCAGTGGATGAAACAAGTCAAGCTCGTCAAAGTCTAATGGACATAGATAACGCCAAAGTTGGATTCTCTTGTGTTAGACATACACTTTCTTTTGGAACATAATATTTTTGTAAAAGAAACATATCGCCGAAAAAAACTATTCGCCGCCACTGCTTTGCCCGTGTACACCACTAGTTTAAAGTTAATTAAAAAGGGGAAATCATATTCAATATAGTTTGGGTGAATATTGTAATATGTATCAAAGTTCAGGTGCTATAGTTGTAAATTGGATTCAATTAAAGAATTGAATATGCGTAACAACGTAACTCCCGTCGATTTCTTTACTTCACGTCATTGCTTACTCCACCATCTTTATTAAAAAAAATGAACGAAAGGAACTCTTGGAGGGTCGTTGCACATATGGTTGAGGGAGAGAGCAAACTAGTTCGTATTTGGTTATAAACAATGGTTGTTTAGTAACTATTCAGACTAGGAACATTGTAATAGTTGCAAATATTGAAGCAATATAAATTAAAATTACCATTTAATGGATGTTTACATTCATGTTCTGAAACTATGTATTTTATTTTAAGAATATTTTTTTTTCATAATGTTATTTATGAAGTAAATCTATATGTTTCTTTAAATTAGCAGTTCTGTCACACCCCAAACCAAAGATGGCGGAAACGTCCGGGGGTGGAAATGACTTCATGTATAGTATCACAACAACAAGTATAATAATGCTCATAGTAAATACAACCATCATAAATATAATTGAAAAAGTTACACCATAGTATTAGTTTACATGTTCCAAAATCAATTACATTATGATTACAAAAATGTATAAATTGACGTCTTGCGTCCCATCCTCAAAATACTGTTGGTTACATGTTTCACTGGTTTCCTGAGAATACAAGTAGTTTTGAAAGAGTGTCAACAATTAAGTTGGTGAGTTCATAAGCTTTTGGATGTAGAGTTTGAAAACCTTTGTTTGTAAATGTAACGTATACTTCAAGAAAAATCCAATGTTTTCCTTATAAAAAGTCGTGTAATCTTAAATCCCAAGACCGAGTGTGTGTGCGTATTTTGTACTTATAACGTGTTTGTAATTGTAATGTGTACCCAAGAAAAATCCAATATTTTCCTTATAAAAAGTCGTGTAATCTTAAATCCCAAGACCGAGTGTGTGTGCGTATTTTGTACTTATAACGTGTTTGTAATTGTAATGTGTACCCAAGAAAAATCTAATATTTTTCTTATAAAAAGTCATGTAGTCTTAAATCCCAAGACCGAGTGTTTGTGCGTATTTCGTACTTAAAACGATGTATGCAGTTTTAGATAGATAAAACCACTTTTTAAAGTAGAATTTTCCCGTAAAGTTGAAATGTTGTTAACTCCCTTTGTGAGTCGTTATAACCATACTATAACTAGAATGGACCTGCTATAACGTTTTTCAGACGTCAAGATCCTATGACTTTTGTCACCCGTAGACCTACAGGTCCCGCTGTAGCTACCAGCAAGGTGTGGGGTGTCAATCCCAATATAGATCTATATACAATTATCACGCTCTCCCTACAAGAAATTCTGGTTATAATTTATAGGAATTTTTAACCCGTACTCTAAGAGTACAATTGAAGAATTGTCTCACAACTTACGTTAACGAGTTTACGTGTGGTTTGAATATAAAACCTTTTTGTCTGGTGGAAATAAATCCCCTTCTTATGTAGTATGTTTGAAAAGTACAACCCATAAACTATACTTCTTATGTTTCATCTAGTATGTTTGTAATGATAAAGGACCCTTACAATTCAGTGAATAATTTCTATTATGTAACTCAACAGAAAACACATGTAAAAGATAGAGTCATCAAGGATAAACACTTTGCTCAACATGTTACAAAGTGCTATGTAAGTTGTAAAGTGTTAACTAGTTTTTAACCTTTCTGCACTGTTTTAAAAAGATCATAGAAAAATCATACGAAGTCGAAAACTAAATCCATAAACTCTAAGAGTTTAGTAAATGTGTTTAGTTTATTCGTAATTTTTATTATGATTTTTAGAAGTCTCTAACGTTTATGAAATTGTTCATATTCACAGACTGGTCCGAATTCGTTTATGAAATGATAGACAATTTTGTGAAAATCACCATAAATTGTAGAAACATCGTATGGAGATGTGCAAGTAGTCATTAGAAAGGTATAAACCTGAACTACTTGCATATTAAACAGTTTTGAAAGATATTAAGTCTAAGATGGTCAAAACAGTCCTTGAATAGGACTCAACGTTTCTGATGAAAGCTATTGTTTGAATTTAGTTAAGTTTTTGGTGTATTAACTTGTATTCCCCCCTTAACACTTGAAGAAAACATGAAAATGTAGGGGTATGAACTCACCTTGAGTGATTTCCTTAGATGAATGCTAGAGAGAAGAGGTTTCCAAGTCAAGAACACTTGGTAAGTGCTTGAAGAGTTGAAGATCTAAGAGCAAATATGGCGATATTTGTTATTAGAGATCCATAATTTGAGTGAAGGTGTGAATATTGTTCAAATGTAGGATGAAAATACTTACCAAAAGTGAGTGAAAAGCTCAATATCAGCCTTGGAGTCTCGAGTTTTTAGAGAGAGAAAGTGAAAGAGAGGTGCTTGCTTCTTGGTGAGAGAGTGAGTAAAGTGGAAGGAGAGATGAGAGTTTTCCAGCTTTTGATTAAGATCTCTTGCTGGAGGGAGTATGAGAGGACAAGTAGTTGACTAGGTAGAGAGGAATAGTGACTGAAGGTTGTCATAAGTGGGCATGAAGGATAGCTTGTGTCATACTTTATTAAAATTCAACACTCTACGTCCATATCTTACACAATAGATATTATTCTTAGATTAAGATTTCCCCTAAAAAGTGATTAAAATATGAATATATAGGGTCTTATACATCAAAATATGAGTTTGGAGAGTTTAAGTCATGAAAATTACAAGTATGAGGAAATTTCCAGAGTCAAAATCACTAAAAAGTCCGAAATGGTTGAAAATCCGGAGTGGGGCTCGGATTTGCGAGGGTTCCGGAGTCAAAATCACAATTCCGGAGTCAAAGGTGGAAATTCCGAAGTCATTTCTACGATTCTGGAGCGGGTCTGCAGCTTCCGGAGTGGATCCAAGGCTTCCGAGATGCGAGGCTGTCCGGGCGAAGTCCTCCTGTCATATGCGAGATGATCCGAAGCAAGGCATTCCGGAGCCACTTTCCGGAGTGAGTGAGTTCCGAAGCTGAGGGAGGTGCGAAATTGTCCGGTTCCGGACCAAGAGGGTTCTTTTGGTTTTTCTCCTTCGATTTTGAGTTGTTTTTAACAAAGGAAAGGATTGGGTTGGTACGGATGTTTATAAAAGTTTGAGAGAGATATGAGAGAAATTTGGGAGAGATTTGGGATAGAGAGAGATATTTAGGAGAGATTTGGGATAGAGAGAGATATTTGGGAGAGATTTGGGATAGAGAGAGATATTTGGGAGAGAGAGAGATAGAATGGGAGAGATTTAGAGAGACTTTGCCGGGGGCCTTTATTAGTGTTTTTCTTCGTAGTGCAAGGACCGTAGGTTTCGTTAAGCATTGTTATGAGTGTTATATGCCCCTGAAGGGTACTTAAAGGTGTCTTATCGAGTTGTCGCATCACTTACTCCTTTTAGAATTTTAGATTTTCTGAACATTGAAAAACTCTAAGCGATACTTTATATTAAGATAGTGAGTTGTACAAAGTAAGCATAATGTAAACCCTAACATACGAAAGGTTAATTGAGTTGACTGGTTTGACTTGTTGACTTTATTTGACTTTGACTTTACCAGAAATTTACGGTTGTCACATCATCCCCCCCGTTA